GTTATTATTAAATAATTCTAGTGTTCCCGTTATGGCCCATCGTAAACGTAAACGATAGAGTGACCATCACCCATATGTAAAAGTCCAACATTATTAACATTATTATTATTAAGGCTTCATAGTTTATAATTTTTTTTTTAACCGCCTATGAATGAATTTTTACTGATTATGTTATATACGAATTAATGCGAAGCACGTTCGGGCCATTAAAAGAACCGCGACCCGTGTGGCCCGGGATTCGGCGAACCAGTTCGGATCAATTTAATACTCGTAAATTATACATTAGGTATAAATTACGATAAATGCAGCTCGCTTAGACGCTCACTTAAACTGCGGAAACTAATTTGTAATCTAGACAATAAGTACGAGTACATTATTTGGGTTTACGCACAAGTTCTGCAAGTCAATTTAATATTAAAACCGACCAAAAATCCGGTTATTAGCTATTCCGCCCGCGGTGTAACCCGCGCCAAACAAACGAGTAATAAAAACGTTTTCGCTTTGGAATTCTCGTTTCAATCCGCGTCACTATATTATTGCAGTTAACCGTTTTTCTCCGTTAAGTTTGTTTTTAAAAATGCATTATCTTTTCAAATGTATGCGTGAATTATTTATACGATTGCTGAACAATGGAAAATACCTTTACATTTTTATTTTGTATCCAGCCCGAAGTACTGCATGTTGAGTCTACTGCTCAGTCTATTGGTCAGATCGAGTATTTCTGCAGTGGCTTTTGATCTTCTCGGCGATATACTCAATCGTTTTCAAAAAAAAAAAAAAAAACCGCATAACGATCGGACAATTAGTTTCTGAGATTACCACGTGACATAAAAATAACACTTTGTCTTGTACATATTATACCGGATAGGTATAATATATGTACGGGATACGTCCGGCGTTGTCCGTGCAATAAAACAGTATCTAAATAAAGTCAAAAGATAAACTATAATCATAATATTATCCTATAACCATATGGATACCCGCACAGCACGGTAATTGCGGTACGACAATTAATAACGAAGATTTTTTTTTCCGCCCGTGTTGCCGAGGTAACCGATTAATCAACGAAATATAATTTTTTACTGAAAATACCCAAAAACCGAATCTCAGGGAATGTTATTCAATAGGGGGTGGATTTATAATAGCTATAAACCTTCTCTCCGGACAACGCGGACCAACTCTCCGGAGTATCACGGCGATCGGATGAACGGTGTGTTTAGTTACACGTAAAGGACAAACACGCGCGCCATTCGGTTTTATACAATAATAATGTAAACAGTAATATCATAAATCTGTGTATCGAGGTATGGCCGGATAACAAATAATAATGGTCTGCGTATTTTTTTTTAAAAATATTTTTATAATTTGAGCCGCGTATTTGACGAATCGCGCCAAATACACACGGTCCCGAGTATGTCGAAACGGGGAAAGGACGATACCGGACCGAACGAGCCGCTGTACAAAACCGATACAGTTTAACTCGAACCCGGTCCTCGAGAGTTTTGTTTTTCGGGTGTATCCGAATTGGTTTCCGTTTGTAAAAACGTATTTTATGAAGGTTTTTCCGTTTTAATTTGTGATGTATCCGCTACTGGTCGAATCGGTTGGCACTGTTCGCAGTAAGATAGTCAAATACGCACATTTCCTTTCCCGTTCTCACAGGCTTAGGACTGCCGACTGAGAATTACTTAGATTTTATACTAAATAAATTTTGGTATTTTAAATGCGGTTTATAATACAGCCGTTTATCAATATACGTGTATCAAGACGGATTGACGTTATCATAATCGATTGCGGTATTTTGACCAATTCGGCCAGTCGTTTCGGCCAGACCTATTTCAACCTACCTGTTTAAATTATAATTTGACATCCATTAAGTGAGTTACCCAGGGGGGATATTCGTTTGGACCGAGAAGTTGTCGTTATACTCTGAATTTCGTCGTTGTTGTCGCAATGCTCACGGTCGAATCTGAACCCAATAATACACATACACACACACACACTACATATCTATACATATTACGCGTAAAATCAATTATCTCGACGTACATCGATGATCGATAACACCGGCTGTAGGATATAGACTATAGACTACTAGAGGTTCTCGAATTCCATTTCAATAATGTAGGTAGAGATAGATTTGGCGGAAACGATAATTGGCGAAAACGAAAATCGAGTTTTTTCGGGTTGGACTGACGCCCACTCGGATACTTCCTTTCCCCCGCCCCCCTCCCGACCGCCACCGGACCCACCGTTCGTCCCGTCGCCGTCACCGCCGCCGCGCGAAGTCGTCCGGACCACGGGCACGCGCGCGACGAGACTGTAAAGGGGACGGGGGAGGTGCGCGTTAGTGGCCTGAAGCGCACCGAAAAACCAGCCGATAAATACTTTTATAGCGAAAATATTTAAGTTCACAGTGTCAATAAGCGGGACGAAGTACAAAACATTACCGCGGGAGGGGGGGAACATCGCGGGGCTACGCGACGCGTCCGTGATTTTAGCGCCCTCCCCCCCCACCCCGAGGTCTAGTCACGCGGGGGTCGAACGCCGCCGCCCGTTTCGTTCCGGTCGCCGCGGTTCGCGCGCGTCCTGAACGCGCGCGCTCGCCCCGTTCCGGTCGCCCGCGTACGTGAACCGCCGCGCCGTTCTCGACTCCACCGTACCGCGTCGCGCGTACCTAACCCACGCCGCCGCCGCCGCGTGTTTCGCCCGTGTGAAATATAATATTCGTGTACACGTACGTACGCCACCCCGCGGAACCCCCTCGCGTTTCCGTCGCCGCGCCGCGCGCGCGTGTGCCGCCTCCGCGTACGCTCCGCATGCACGTATACGGGCGTAATCGTCCATCAAAACGGGTCGGACGCAATACGTGTGTGTGTGTATATATATATATATATATATATATATATAGAACGAGAGAGAGAGAGAGAGAGAGAGAGCCGGTGAGTGACGGACAGAGCTAGTCGTAGTGGGAAGGGGGGGGGGGGGGGGGAAACGGTAAAAAAAAAAAAAAAAACCCGTATACAGTCGGGCGAAAGTACGACGACGGCGACGTGAGCGCGCCCGAGCGCCCATCATTTGTCAGACCGCCGCCGCTATACTTCCACGTCCGCGGCCGCCGCCGCCGCCCGCCGCGCGTTTTGTTTATTTCTCAAAAGTACAAAAACTTACTTAGCGCTACGGCGGTATTCACGGGGGCCCGAGCCAGCCGGGTAGTGGTACCGCGTGATTAATGGCTTTTTCGCCGTGCACGTATACGTGTACGTGTATATGCGTACGTATAATATGTAAGCAGCGAGCGCGCGCGTGTGTACGCCGTGCGCCGTACGGTTGCCATACACACGCTCGCGCGAACGCGTGTGCGTTAAAAGCTATACACGACCGCCGCCGCACACGTATGCGCGTACGTTCGCCTGTATCCGCCGGCGGGGGCCGTCGCGCCTAACCACCGCCCGCCGACCTTACCGGCGCGTCGCTTACTTCCGTTACTGCACCGACACCGCCGCCGCCGCCGCCGCCGCCGCCGCCGCGCGATTTCGCCGAACCCGCGCGCACAGGTACGCCGCACGCACGCGCGCGCGATCGCGCCCGGCGTTTTAATGTATGCGTGCGTGCGGCGTGTGCGAGCGTGTGTTAACCCGCGAGACGGAATAAATAATGAAATATTCGAAAACGCGACCGGACTATTAATATTTATAATAACGTAGGCGGGGTTGCGAAAAAAAAAAAAAAAACATTTTTTTCTTTCCGTTTAAAACACGCTCTAATTGTCGGACGATTTGCCCGTTTCGAACGTGTGTACGGTTTTTATTTTTTTCCGCGGAAAAAAAGTGTCCACAAACGGAATACGAATTTCAGAACTATTATTTCGAACTAGACGGCGCGCACTTAAATCGAAACAATCATTTTGTCGGCATGAACAAAACGCAAAATACATTGCTGCCGTTAAATCCGACGTTGCGGTTTGAATAACGGCGAAATCCGGATTTTCCTGCACAACGATAAAAATGTCGCGGGTGTGAACATTCGAAATCCCTGTGATATCAACCGTGAATTTTTCGTAAATTCAGATATCGAGAAATGTATTATTTTGATAAAATGAATTCCTGATTTTGAAATACTATACGCAAATTGTTGCTTACCCGGATGGGCGCTAGGAGCAGCGAGTTTGTGGCGACCAGTTTTATCGCTAATTATTGTTTTTTTTCATAGTATAATATTACCGAGGTAGATTGATTCACCTTGAAGACTACACCTGACCAACCCGCGTCAACTCGGGTCTTTCTACCCGATCCGATTCGCGACCTATCCCGTTCGGTTTTACTCGATTACCCCATCCGCCCTTCAAGTGAAAGCCTTTCCGGGCGATGGCGTGATGTTCCATTACCATTTATAAAAATTATGTACCTACCTGTGCGGAGTGCCGTTTCCGGCGCTAAACCCCGGTGCCAGAGGAAATTTGCCAATGAGCAAAAGTAAAAATAAACTAAACCTCCGTGGGGCGTTCATCGCAAAAACATTCAATTACGAAACCATAAACATTTTCATTAACGCCCCAGTAGTCGTAGCGCCCGGTGCGTGAAGCACCCCTCACACCCACTGGGTACGCCCTGTGTGTAAGTATCGGTTAGAAGACGAAAAGGTTTGAACACCCCCGACCACACTGTTTGTTCGTATGTGAACTCGAAAACCGCAAAAATCGTTTTGAAAAAACTGTTAACCTATTAACGGAAATTCGATTCTTACCGTACATATGTTTTTTTTTTTTTTTTTGTTTTATTTCTCTTGTAATTTTCTTAGTAAATTGAAAATAGTTGGAAATTTTTTATACATTTTCAATAGTTTATTAGAGTTACCAAGGAAACGAGTTATAGTGTATTATTTCGTATAACTAGTTCAAAGTTTTTATGCATTCTAGTCGGCCACTGATATTCGTTATTATTCGCATTTTGTGATTGTCCGCATTTTGAAATTATCATTTTTTACGTTCGAAGAACAAAATGGCAATCGAATGGAAGTACAAAACAGACGATCTCGTTTGGGCAAAAACGAATGGTTTTCCCCCGTGGCCCGGCCGCGTAAGTGAACCCCCTTCGCTTAGAACATGCTCGAAGAAAAATAATTCTAGATACATATTTTTTTTCGGATGTAAAAATTACGCGTGGATTGAAACTGGTTGTTTAAAACCATATTTGCCATACAAGAATTTATTAACAGATAATGGTAAGACACAACATTTCAAGGAAGCTTGTAGAGATATTGAAGATTTTATCAAAACCGGAAGTGGTAAAAAAAATAATAGAGTGCCTGTAACTGAAACTCTTGTTAGAAATAAAACACCGAAAGTGGTTAAAGAATTATCGGCATTCAATACTCCATGTTGCAGTTCTACAGTTAATTCTACGTCTGGTTCAATAGCTAAAAAACGTAAGAACAAGTCATTGTTCGGCAAATCGTTGGCTTCAAACTCAGATGAGGCAAAGAGTAAACCAAAAAAATCGCGTGTCAATTTGTCTACTGACAATGTAGACGTATTTATAAATATTGAAATAAAAAACAATTATTCGAATCCACAAGGAAAAAATAATAATTTATTAAATAGTCCTGAAGTTATAGCGGCAGAGAGTACGTCAAAAGACGTATCAAAGGTTTCCAAATATTTATCGAACAAAAATATGGCTATGAAATTTGGATTCATTGGCTTGGGGAACATTGGAACTGAAATTGTTAAAAACCTATTGAAATCGGGACATACGGTTATTGTATGGAATCGAAGTCCGGAAAAGTGTCAACAGTTTTTGGAAATCGGCGCTACAGCCGGAATTACTCCATCTGACGTAGTTATAGGTTCAGATATAATATTTTCTTGTGTTTCTAACCCAAGAGTTGTTAAAGATATAATATTTGGAAATGACGGAATACTTTCTAATTTGGGAACAGGAAAATCATTTGTGGAAATGAGTGGTGTCGATCCAGAAACATCTCAGGACATCGGTGATGCTATTTCGAGCATAGGTGGTCGTTATATGGAAGCCGTGATTCAAGGAAGTAAGACCGAGGCGGGACGAGGGAGTTTAGTTTGCATGGCGGCTGGAGATAAAGGATTATTCGATGACTGTCAATCAGTGTTTGGCGCGATCGCTAAAAAATCACTTTATTTAGGCGAGATTGGGTCAGCCACCAAGATGAATTTGATTTTGCATACAATCAAATCCGTATTTATTGCAGGATTAGCAGAAGGTGTGGCTTTAGCCGATAGAGCAGGTATATCGTCAAAATGTATGATAGATATTCTAGCGAGAACGTCGTTAAAGTGTCCATTATTACTGGAAAAAGAAAAAGCGACGGTTGATAAAAATTTCCTACCACATCAAGCTTTAAACCACTCACAAAAAGATTTGAGTTTATCGTTAAATTTGGCAGAAGATTCAGAACAGTCTTGTCCAGTTTCAGCCACTGTTAACGAAGTCTTAAAAAATGCAAAACGTCTAGGATTCAGTGACCTCGACACCAGTTAAATTTGTGCTGTACACAAATTCGCATTTTGATTTGATTTTTTTGTTTATTTTTGTTTGTAAGGGTAAGTATACCCTTACATTTGTCTTTTTTTTTTTTACATTGCAACACTTGGGAAAAATTATTGTAGCACATAATATTGTATACTAGTATGTTCAATTGTACAAATTTGTAATAAAAATATTGTTGAAAATTACCTTTAAGCACTAATCTATTTACCTGTAATGATTTACAGATCAATGTCGGGCTAGCACAGTCGATGGAGTTCGAAACTACGACCCCGGTAGGTTCGAACTCCACGTTAGGCACCGATTATGTAGTGCGTATTATTCGACGATAAATTAAATTGCCGTTCAAACACTATAATAGCCTTTCGAGCGAAATGAAATAAGAAATATGGTTTTTATTATAATTATGGATTTTAATCGTTGTTCGTTTATGCGTAAACACGTAACCGTATTGCTACTGTATACTAGTATCGACACGGGTCGCTGCTTTATTATCCTGGATCTGGAACACACGGTAGAAATGACACTAAATGGACGAATGAACGATCCGTTTGGTGTTCAATTACTTTCTAGAATTCTGGACCATTAGGTATGCCGCAGTGATACCGTCCGAGGACCCGGAAAAGATTGTATACTGGTCAATCAGAGTGTTCGGGAATTATTACGGATACGTAAGAGTGTAATATAAGTGATACGAAACATACTCTGCTCGGAATCGTTTTTCGTTCGAAACGGTTTAGAAAACTTCTAATTGACAAATTAAATTACACTATGTATCGTCCCTTTGAAATTCTCTTCTAAAACAGTAGCACACCCATCAGTAGTATCAACTATATTTTTATTTTGAAAGGATTGCCAACGATTTGATTTTAACAATATCTTTTCCCACCTGTGGACTGCGGGATTTAACCACGTGCGTCCGATCCGAACAATCAGAAAACCTCTTTAAAAACACGCAGGCCTGACGTCGGAGGGTCGTTTGTTTGTAGACATCATCGCGTGAAATTAGCGCCTAATCGCATGCCTACTTCACCTGCCCGACATTATATTAAAAATTAATTGAGCGATTCGAATCCTGAACTTGCCTATTATAGGTAGATACTTGAAAATATCGTGTTTATACACGTCGTACTTAAGTATGGCGTGGGTGACGGAAAGGGTTAAGCGTGTTTGCACACCAATCCGAAACGGTACCCTTTTGTTGTCGGCACGATATTATTATTGTTATATTATAACTGCGCACAGCAGTGGCGTATTTCGTATATATAGTCCAGGATTTGTATCGTATTGTACAATGTGTGCATTATGATAAGGTGCAAAGTAGACTGAAAAAAAAAAAATCCGCGCTTAAGTTAAAATTGAAATCAAATAACTGTAATTAATTTGTTGCGGATCCTGTAACCTCCTATTAGCTCGTTTGTTCTGCCGAGCTGTTGTTCCAAACATTGAAAATATTTGTAAATTAATGGAACATCACGTACAAAAAAATCAATACGACAATAATATTTACTTTGTACTAGGGTGCGAATATTTATGCCACAAAAATGTCAAAATTTGTAAATATTTATGTAGTTATTCTTGCCAAAATAATGTTTGATTAAAACAACATGAAATATTGTATAAATTCACTTTTAACATTTATCATATACTTATACATTTACTTATACGTAACGTTCACCTTTATTTCTATAGAAATCGTATGCACTTGTAAGCTAATATTCCAAGTTGTTGTAGCTATACCACGAATCAAAAAAATGTACTATAAATATATAATTTATTTTAGATTCGGAGCGGGGCGAGGAATCCATTATTTTTACTACAATGTGTTTTTTTTCCGTCTGTAAACAAATTTTCGAACAGAAAAATGTTCCAATCGAAAAACGACAAAAGTTCTGTTTTTGTCGCATTTTACATTTATTTGGCGAGTAAGAAAGTCGTTTCTTGAATTTCTGAGAGATTTTCTTAATAATTGAAGAAAATTGGAAAAAAACGTAGACAGAATGGAAAAGTTTACGGAAATAATGATTTTATTATTTTTAATTTTTTTTTTTATATATATGTAATTCAGTTAAAAATATTCATAGAGACTTGATATTTTAACAGAAATTGTATATTTACCTTCTCTAGACGTGGTTTAAATGTTCATAATTTTTAAACTATTTATAGGCATTTTATGCAATTTAACAAGAGATTCATTATTAATTGCATACAACGGGGTCAAAAAAAAGAAAAAGTTAAAAAAATTATAATAATATACAATATAGTATTCAGTTTTATTTCCACTGTACGCGTAACCAATAATGATAATACAAAAAACAAGGTGAGATAATGGGGACGGGTGCAGCCACTGTTGTAGGTGGGAAGTTGATAAGGTATAGGATACAGACAGAAATGTAATGTATATCTGTAAGCAACAATAAACCGTTGTTAACGAAAAACCGATTTTGTGCGGAGTAAAGTGATTTTTTGTCAACAATATATTTTATGTCCTATTATTTGTGGAAAATAATTAAATAGGCGTCATCTATTTTTTTTTTTTTTTTTAGTAAAATATGTTTAATATTGTACCGATTTTCTCGTTTTTCCTACGTTTTTCACATCTGTCGGGAAAACTCTTGGGAAAATCAAAAAATGACATCTTCAAAGTATCACCCTAAGAAAATTTCCTTTCAGAAAAAAGTCTACATCGTATTTATCGGAGTAAGTTTTCTGGTAGAAAAAGCGTTCACATAAAAAAAAAAAAATAAAATTAATATTTTTTTAACCGTTGTCGGTTAGGTTAGGTTGGTATTGGTAACTGTCGGTTTTTTTTTTTTTTTTAAACGTCCGTTTTAAAAACCGTCTGGAATTCCGACGAAAAGAACGAATCGAATACGGTCGGGGTACCCTCAAACGATCGTTTGTACGTACGGCGCGTACAATATCGTATCGATCGAAAAACCGTTTTCCGAGAAAAATCCCAACACCACCAACTCCCCTCCCCCATCCCCTTTATGTCCGTCTCAATAAAACTTATATTGGATCGTATACTTTTCGAATCGCGCAACGGTCTAAAACGCCACGCCGGGGGATATTTCCCACCCCCCGCCCCTTCCCATGATCCGACAGGTACGGCAAAAGTTTCACCGCACAATGCCGTGTATGCCGTACGATATTGTTGTCGAATAAACTCCGTGACGTATTTACCGTTATTGTAATTACAATTGTTGTAATTATTATTATTATTATTATTATTATTATCGTCATTATCGTTATTATAATCCGAAACGCTCGGAAAAACGGAATGCGCTCGTTTTTCCCGAAACGCGATTCATTGTCCGCGGCGCGCATTACAATCTCCTTTCGCGCGCCGCCGCCGCCGCCGACTTCCGCGCTAATTACGCTGTCGATTTAATGAGGATAATAACATTACCGCCGTTGCCGTCGCGATAAAATTATACGCTCGCAACAACAACGTATTAATACCGTATAATTATCAACGACGCCGCCGCCGGTTACAATAATGATAACAATATTATCATTATTATAAACCGCCTCGTTCGGGCGCGAAACGCGGCGTCTCCGCCGGAAACCGTCCGCGCGCGCGAGCGGTTTGTTTGTAACGTACGATTAAATCCGTACGCCGCCGCCGCCTGGCGACTGTGTTTCGATAATGAGAGTGTCACGCCGAGTCCTCCACTGTTCTGCCCGTATGCAAACTCCGTTTCTGCCGGCTCGAAACAAAGTGAAATTCTCACTGCCGGGTGATCCGTTGTTCAAGCGGCCAGGTACGCTCGATCGTCTCGGAAAGTATTTTTATTTTGTTTTTTTTTTTTTCCGAAATTCGCTTTCTAGAACACTTAAGAAACAGACCGCTCCGCAATATCGGGTTCGTGTTATATTTCGTCGCCCATATTGTTCGGGGTAAAACCACTGTACCTACTTTGGATTCGGCCACCTATGTTAAAAGTTCCATAAATTGTTGGGATATCCGTTGAAATACATTTTGGTGTTGCAATTTTCGATTTCCGTAAATCCGTCGACGGGATGTTCCGCCTTTTGGTTTCGGTTGGAGGGGAGTAGAGTGGTGCATTATTAGTATCAAAAGCCGGTAGTGGTTTTACCCCCGAAAAGAAGGGTGACGAAATATAACATAAATACAAAATTGTGTTCTCGCTTGTTTCTTATATATTCCAGAAGACAAATTCCGGAAAAAAAAATAAGTACTTTCTGAGATTACGAGTGCCCACTTAAACGGATCACTTAGTATATACGCGGACGACGTGAAAATCTTTCATAAAACTGATTCTCTCGCTCGTCTTCGGGCGGATCACTAGTTTAAGCTTATTCCTCAACTTGAGTAAGTGTCAAGTGTTTATACTTTCTCCAGATATCGTTCGCCTCTAGTACGCTACTGTTTCCTTAACAGCTAAACGCTTTAACGAGTGTCTTTCATTAAAGATCTCGGGGTGTTTTCATCGTCTGCTCTTTCTTTTGAACACCGCATATTAATATAACAGTAAACAGATAAGTACAATAGAATAAAGTGGTCTGCGTTGTCAGTAATGCCGGCGTTTGTTTTAGATCTTCATACCCGGGGAGGGAGAGGGGTATCGTAAAATTCCAAGGGAGACGGCAAAACCGAATCCAGGAATTAATATGTCGGAGAGGGGGGGGAGAATTAATAAAACACGCTCGACGATGACTGTTTTGTTTTTTTGTAGCTCGTTAAAATACGGTTATTAGTATACGATACGATATTTTTTTTATTTTACCGTCAACGAGATGACTCGTCATCGGCCCACGACCCCTTTCACGTGTAGTTTACGTACGTAATAATGGCGTACATTTTCAGGAAGCCGTATACATTTTTCTGCGGGGGAGTTATTCCCCCCGGTTAGTCACCTCGATACAGGCGTAACGGTCCGCTCCCGATTCTTGCACACGGCGATACCCATTTCGGTTAGAACGGGCCACCGCCCATTGTGGACGAATGTAACTGATCCCAATAACGT